TATGTAGAGGATAGTCTGGAAGAAAACATAGCCTACTTACTTGTTTTTCATTCCTCGTGGACCGCGTCGCGGTCGAAGGCTTGTAAGCAATAAAATTCTATACTCTGTACACTATATTTTCTTAACAAACGGTATGTTTAACAATAAAATTATTCTCACGTGCGACGTGGTGACGGTTGGGAATAATCCAAGTTTACGAAGTTCTATAGCAGTATTGTCGTGGCTCGTTAGTCCAGTGATATACGACCACATAGATGACAGATGTCAAATTAAAAGACCATACGGTACAACGAAAAATGCTGCATTCTTTGCAACGAGATAATCAAATACAGGCAATAAAATATTTAATGTCATTTAGAAAATTAAAAAGCATTAGTTTGAAATGATCGAAATAAAACATGTGTGATTTACAATTTTTTTACAATTCAATTAATTTAAAATTTGTATTTTGTGACCGAAATATCACTAATAAGATGCTTAAAAGTGTTGCCATTTTAATAATAATATATGATTTAATGACCCTTGATATTATAACATTTTCTGTAAGTAAATTCATTAACAAAGTCTTACATCGTTTTTCACATGTTTTTTATAATATTTGACACAAATAAAAATCATAAGTTCGATGACCTCAATCTGTCAAAAACAATTAGGAAAATACAGATAAAAAAGTAAAAGCACGGTAAATGTTATCGTAAATATTATTTCATAAACTATGTTAGTTTGAAATAAACATAAATTGATTTGCCGTTATTTTCTTTTTGACAGCTGTGACGTCACAATATGGCGGGGATTCATGCGCATTTTTTAACCGACTTCAAAAAGGAGGTTCTCAATTCTGTGTTTTTTGTTTGAAACGCATTGCATTCTACATACACATATTCCGTAAAGCAATATCAATATTTCCTAGTTTCTTTAATATTATAACCGGTATTATAATAAACAAGCTAGTATTAAAACGACATTAATAGTAATCATAGTAAACATAAGAATATGAGCTCATCACAGACAAATAAATCATGGAAAATCCACCGCAAATTTCCTTAAACATAAATTAATTCTAACTCCGATGAATTATGTAATTGTAGACTATTTAAGAAACAATAGGCATTTATACAGATACAATAAAACTTTTTTTAAACTAAGCAGTCTCTAAATAAATGTTAAAACCATAGATAAGTCTTACTTTTTTACTAATATTATAAATGTACAGTGGTAGTGCCCGCTTTAACATCATAGCACATATGGGCCGGCACGCCCGGTGTTATACCACGACCACATAGAAGACAGGCGTGAAATGGAAGCAATTCCGTGTTTCGTCTGATGAGTGTGGTGCCGGAGGCCTAATTTAAGTCC